AGAAAGAAAAATCTTAAAGTTACTCACCAAACGTTGCAAACGAGTGAACGAATGCCGTTTTGCAGTGTATACAATTCATTCCACATGTAAGTGGATTGTTAAAACCGCACCTGCAAAGACGAATTCAAGGAGGACAGAGATTGAAGTCTAATTATTTCCTACGGGATGTGCCGTGCCCACGATCTGCTTCACAATTGGGCAGGGATTCGAATGTTACGTAGGCAGGCTCCGCGCTGGTCCGCGGACTTTTTGGACCATTAAATGTCGACAAATTTTATTCTTTCTGTACTCTCCCTCACTTGAGTGGTGTTTTGTGATCGCAGCACTTCACACTTTGCAGTATTATGGGTGGCTAATCTACATCGGAATCCCCCTTTGAAAGTCTTATTCCTTGGCCCACGACATGTTTCTAGCCCTTTCGGAGTAAAGGCGACTCGTGTCTTGTAGTTGCGGGGTTTCGCAACGGACCATCGAAAAAAGTTCAAGTAGTGACGTAATCTCACGCAAAGGGATCAGCCGTACCGTTTGCCGTCTTTGTTGGTCTACCCCTCTCTCCAACAAGGCTAAAAAAGATGGAAACCGTTGAGGAAACCATACTTTGCTTCAACTTGATCTGCATTTAGCGCACTGTTGGCCACGGCGTAGAGAACGCGAGAGCTGCAGAGCGAGCCATTGACAAAAGTAAGGAGATCGAGCAGTTTAATGTAATGTGAAAACCATCACCTGTGACAAACAGGTAGCAGATCGTCGACGTCTGAGAACGGTTTCGCTCGGATATTGACGGTCATCAGTTCCACATCGCGTTGAAGACGTGGTGGCACTCGTAGATTTCCCAGGCGATCCAGAGTATCTCGTGCCAACTTATAAGCACCAAGTTCACGTCCGATTCGTGCTATCGTATAGCAGATCAGCCTGAATGACGGGCGAATATTGAATGACAGCTTTTGGAAGCCTCTCCAGATAACAATTTTCAGAAAAGTCCATGATGGTATGAGAGGAGTCAGTTCTACAACAAAGCCTCTTTCGCTGGAGCCTTTTCCGTTCCAAGACAACGACCAGGAACAGAGCGCCGGTTTGAACGCTAGAATGTTAGGCCTGAAACCGCCCCCATAGTCCGCTGGACTTTATGTTTGACACACTCCGAAATATGATACGATGCTCAAAAACACGAACAAGAAACAAAGAAAAACAAAAATCAAAATGATGGCTAAGAGCTGAGAAGGCCATGGCTAATTTAGGCAGATTAGAAAAAAGCAATTGCTCACACTTGCGATATGTTTGGCACAGGTGGTTGAGCGGCAAGGTATCGGGCCATGTTCAACAATGTCTCCGGGCTGTGTCGTGTGAAAGGTTGATTCTGAAACAAGCATCACAGTCGGAAGATTACTTCTGAGACAACGGCATGAGAAAGAGAAAAGCATTTGGCCCACAGGGCCTAGGGATTTCTCAAAGAAAGTTTTAAGGGTTGTCCCTTCGTTATTTCATTGCTCTGTGGAAAGTGGCTCAAAGATCCGAGATTCAAGAAAAGAGAAACTAACGCAGTAGAGAAAAACAGCATCGTAAGCGTAGTACATTTCAGCCAACTTAGCACTAGCATGATATTTTGGAATGAGTGAAGGGTTATCTTTGGACCTTTCAAGATACTGCATACTCAACAGCCAGTGATAATACCTGGAAATGTTGTACAAAAACTGGTATTACAAAAAAGGTGTGAAGAAAATCAAGCCAAAGACGTTACCCAGCATCAGCGAAACGATTCTCATCAACAGCGTTACCAGTAAGCTGTTCCAGTACCCGTAATGCTTCTTGGTCACGACCCGCTTTGTGGTACGCTGAAATCTCGCATGGTATATTCAAGCTTACGAAACGAAGAGCGCCAACGTAGCTGGGGTGGGGGAGTTCGTTG